TGTTCTTAGTACGCACTGCTCAAAATATTTCAGGTAGAGAAAAGAAAACCCTAATATTCTTCAAGGTCTTGAGGAGGTTTTTCCTGGAATACTGGTTGCGTTGATTCAAAGATAGATTCCAACGGAAACAGCAAAGAGTTGTTAAGACAATCCAAGAAACTGCCCCATCTATTAGATATAACCTCTAAATTCAGAGGTTTTTGTCAATGAAAAAGAGTGAGGGGGTATTTATACTATGCAATCATGACATCGGGAAAAAAAAAGTCTAAGGGGAGAAACAGATGTATAGAACAGCTCTTTTAATAGCAATGCTAAAAAAAAAAAGGCAACTGGTGAAGTGAGTAGTAGAGCAATCTGGAATAGGTCTTCAACAGAAAGGTCGTGAGACAGTATTCTATCCAGCGTTAAGACAGAACTTGATGAGTTGACATAAGACCTTGGCACTAGACTCCAGGAGTCCCTTTCTAATATGACACTGCTGTATTTCTTCATGTGCCTAGGAAAACAGAAAGAAAAGGAATTACTTCTTGTATTAAAATTAACCTACATGGCCTAAATTGCCTAAGGGGTACTAATAAATAAGCAATATATGGAATAGGAAAATAATCTGACAGATGTTGAGCCCCTTAATTTAACCATTTTTTATTATTATTATTTTTAGCTAGTTAGTGATACAACATACTAATATTCTCTATCCTATAAACAATTCAAAAGATTTATAACAATTTTTTGCCTAAGCTCTTCCATACTTGTCACCAAGGAAAGAATGATCAGAGACTTAAGTAATTTCAATTTCCTTCTCATGAACCACTTGAAGTTTATGGTTGCTGCTCCAAAAAAAAAAAAAAAAAAAGATTTATGAAGTAAGATTCTTGCAGCAACATCTGTCAGCAGCAAAAGGTTACTTTAAGAATTATTTTTTAGAATTTAAACCCACAGCTCTGGCTCAAAGCATCACCTTCAGAAAACTAAACACATTCCCTGGGCATCCTTTGTAGGCAGTCTCACTCCTCCCACTATAGATCATGCCTGTCTGAAGGAAAATAAGGAATGCAAAAATAAGGTTTTCAACAGCAAATAAACCAAATATTTATCTTGAACATTAAAATTAATCTCATTATCCCCACCTTCCAGAGTGAAAGACGATTCACTCCTCCCTTTCCAACAATCTGTTGTCAATTGTAAGAAAAATTCTTGAACTGGAGAATAATCATGGGCAAGATATTTAAGGAAGCTCTTGACCATTATTATTTCTACCCAAGGACCACTTTTGCATCCTTCTCTGTGCTATCTGGAAGTGCTAGTATCTGACCTCAGGCCTCTGAAAATTAATTCAGCCCAGTAGAAAAAGATAGATGCTGGACATAATCCCATGAGATTGATTTTGTGTGTGTGTGTGTTTAGGCGGCTTTTTTAGTGGTGTTTGTTTTGGGGTTTTGTTGGGTGGTTTGGTTTTTTGGGGTTTGTGTGGTTGTTTTGGGGGGGCAGGGGTAGTTTTTTTTTGTTTTGTGTTTTTCTTTGGGTTTTTGTTTTGTTTTGTTTGTGGGGTATTTTGTTTGGGTTTTTTGGTGGTTTTTTGGGGTTTTTTTTTTGGTTTTTTTTTTTACAAGGTCAGAACCTGTGTTCTCCTTTGCTGTTTCATTCAAGTCCAGACTCATACAGCTAAGCGCTATCTGATGGAGACTGAGTGAGGGATACAGTATACAGAAAAAAATCATACTAACAGGGACTCAAAAAAGTTACTTCCACTCTCCTACCCCAAAGAATTCACTTCTGGTGATAAAGCAAATACATGAAAGAATTTTGATTCCTTTCACCCAAACTATTATGGGCTACTAGATAACTATAACAACTATAACTTACCTCATGTTTTATTAGATATGTTATTTTTTACTCACACATTAAGCATATCACTATTTTGTTTCTCCCTTATATGAAGGCATAAAGCTAATTTTATTTTAAAAAAAAAGTCTCTGTCAAAGAGAGGAGCATTACCCATAGATGAGAAGCCTGGCTTCTCACTTGCCCGCACCTTTTGTGTAGCAGTGGACAATAGCAGAAAACTCCTTTTACCTGAACACCAGAGCATAGTTACATTTGTGATAGATCTACCTGAACAAGACACATTTCATTCAAGAAGAGATTTTTGTGAGACAGATTTAGAATGGGGGGGCGGGAGGAGTTTTAAACATGCCAAAATTGGGGTGGGGTGAGGGTTGTGGGTTTAAAATTGTGAAACAGGATTCAAGGATTTTTCCCCTTTCAAGCTGCTCCTTGTTGGATGGACACCATAGATGTCAAAGATACTACCTTTAAAAACAAATAATGCCTATACCAGAATCAATTTACCATCTCTATTCTCCTTGAATTATTCAGAATTTAGCAAACACAAACTCTGCAGATAAGGCCACACAACTCTTACCAGAATTTTGTTCCTCAAAGGGAAAAGATACTTAACAACTGATTCTTAAACTGAGTTCCCATATGGCTTTCCATTCAAAGATGCACCTGTTTTAGAAACACTTTCAGAACTAATGTTGAAGTTTTCAAAACAAAGCTTACACCACATGTGTTTCTGGACTGGACTGCAATACTGCACATAGAAGGTGAGCTAAATCCTCTCCCTGTCTGTCATAACTCTCCCATCAATTTTAGGGATGCATTTAAAGCTTTTTTTTCCTCTCTTTTTTTTTTATTTTTAAACAGACAAAGTACTTTGGTATTTAGCAAAGGTAAAATGCAGTGGTGCCAATAGTAGTCTGACATACTATGACATGCTGCACTTATTCTGCATTGCAGTTACTATTTTATTCCATAGTTCAATGACAAGAAACAAAACTAATCCAAATTAAGTTGTTATAAAGTTAAACTAAATGCATTCAGATTCTTGTGTAATACAACTTCCTGCTTAGCAAGTTGTTCTTCATCATATCAGTTTAACCTTTAATAAAAACTATTAAACAGTTCTAAAGATGTATCATTAGTTACTTTATACCTAAGAATAAAAGAACCAATCCAATAGCTCTCTGAAGTAAATTCAGTTTTAAGTAGACTTTGAACACTTAAAGTTTCAAACAATTACAGAAAGGCAAATATTAAACAAATAATTCAGCAGTTTTCCTGCTTGTAGTCGCCTCTATAATGAGTGTCATTCTTCCTAAACCAAAACCAAACCAAAAGCTTGCCCCAAAATCATTTCCCTCAATTGTTCCCTCAAAATAGATTCTATATAAATCTCCTCTTTCAAGCTTCCAGTTCAAGTGCTACCAGTCTATCACTAGGCAAGAATAATGTAAAGACTTAGCAAATTCAAGTAAGTACAGAATGAAAGTGTTGATAATTTTATTCATGCAATAAACATGATTTTCTGGCAGATATATTGGGTTGATCCCTCCTTTAATTGTACCATGTTTGGTCAATGGAGTTAGTACTAAAAGTTCTATGGCATTTTACTAACCATGTTGTTGTTCCTCCTCCCAAATGCTATGTGGAGCTACTATCCCAGAAATGATGCGTGCTAGAAGTACTACCAAATTACAAATCACAACAGCTAGAGATGCGAAATAGAAAGTGATGTTTCTAGAACATCCTGAAGTGAATTATCCTAGTCTATTTGTCTTAAACACCTACAGATTGTGTGGAAATAAAAGAAAAAAAAAGAGAAAATGTCTCTGAAGTTATTTGTAATTTTCAGACAATAAAGGGATTCATGAATAAATATTAATAGAGGCAAATACACAGCTTATTGCTTAGTTGAAGGTGGTTTTTTTATCAGACTACTTTTAAATATCTCAATGATAAGGTTTACCCACAAATACACACAGTAAAATTACAACATCACAAATATAACATAGGACAGAATCAGAGGGAGAGTGAGGAAGAAACACCACCTGGCTAGTGTCAGTGTTCTGCAAGATGCTTGTGAAAAATGAATTCCTTGAAAGGACAATTGGAGAAACAAATTGATATTACATCTTCATAGATCAAGTACTGTTTCCACTGCTGTCAGCTGTATTTCAGGCTGTTTACAATTGCTGGGAGTTAAAAGAAAATAAAACACACACACCCCCCACAAAAATCCTTTAAGGTCCAAGAAGCAGGTTGAGTTCTTTTTCTGTAAAGCATTAACATATTTAGTTCAAGAACAAAAAACACTGAATTCCCTTAATTAAATCTACAGATAGAGAAAGAATGATTTCTAGCAGTAGATAAACCTTTAATTCGAGCAGAATTATTAAGATGATCCAGTATCTGAGAGCTGAAGTAAAGTCAGACTAAGTATAAAAGTAAGTTCACAACAACACTGGTAATGCAACAGCATATTTAGATATGTAAATATATACAGTATCACCTGAAGTTCCCAAGTAAAGACAAAAACTCTGTAAAAACAGTACAATAGAATATCCACATAGCATCAGCTTGGTTTAGAATTTACTACTATTGACTTGCATTACAGAGGCTAAGAGAACAAGAAAATAATTATTCTGACATAAAATTCAGACAACTAATACATTGCTTCTGAGGTAGCATCATTTATATAGGTAGAAGTATTTTTTGCCTATGAACCTAGTGCCCCACTAAGATATTTTTAAAACATTTACTGTATTTTAATATGAACAATAAATAAATCCCATTTAAAAGATTTTTTAAAAATAATTTTCTTTAATTTGTCATTAAGACAAGAATCACATTTTTAAACATCTATGAGTTGCTATAAGCTACATTTAAGATTCTTTATTAAAAATTAAGATATTAGTAAGTGCCTAGCTATTATACAACAGATAAAATAAGACATAAAATGTTTCAAAATGTTCACTTTTTTCAAAAAAATACACCAAATTGATTAAGATATATACATGACAAGTTATTTTGATAAGTCAGCAAAACCACATTGAATTAGATTTTCAGAATGCATATATTTAGGAAGAATATGAACAAGATCAGGAATTTAGGAGAAAGGGAAAAGGAATTAAACGTAAGGACATATATGCCTTACAAATTTAAAGTCTTTTTAAGTTTCTTTTGCTTTGAGCACTTCCTGGAGGAGCATCTTTTTTGTTCTTCCCTTTTGCAGATAAACTATTACATTCTTTTGACCCATGGAAAGCATGCAGACATAAAATACAGAACTCAAATGCACATGCCTCTCTGCTACATAGTCCCCTTTTCTTTACCAACTGATATTTAGCAGGATATTGACATCTTGGACAGGGTTTTAGAGCTTCATCAGTGAACAGAGTTTTAGCAACCTGTAGCAAGAGGAGGAGGGAAGAGCTACTTAGTCCTTGTAAATGAAACTTTTCTAGAACTGAAAGTGAAGTCTTTCTTAGCCACCTACTTTTATGTATTCTTCCCGTCTACTAGTTGAATGGGGAACAGAACTGCATCTCCTAGGTGTAAGTTCAGTGTATGAAGGTGGCGTTTGTACCACGGGAGTTCTGGCTTGAGCTTGAACGGGCCTTAGAGCAGATCTATTGAGAACATTAAGTCTTGTGGCAGCATCTTCAGCTTTCAAGAAATATTCCTGTTAAAGTTTATAATTATAATGAAAAGGAAAAAAACAAACCACAAACACAAAAGGAAGCAAATTAGGGTTTTATTAATAATATAAATTAAAAAATATATATTTATTTGGGATTTGCAGCTAGGTTTTTGCCTTTTTTTTTTCCTTTTGCAATAACACATTAGAAAAGGAAGTTATGTATAGTGCATGTATTTTCCATTAAATGTTAATATTTAGTAAGGGAATAAGAGACCAGAACCATCAAAAACAAAATCCCAAGAACAGGGTAAAAAGCCAGCTGTCTTTTAGCACTCTACTGCTCCTCATATTTCTGAATTAGGACACATCTCAATAGCAAGCATGGAAATAGCAACGTGAGTTTTATCACAATTAAAGCAAGGTTACACTGAAGTGTGTGTGTAGACACAGGTGGAAAAAGGTTATGCTGCTATTAATATGCTTACTTTTCTAGATACCCCTTAAAAAAAACTTTTATGAGTCCTTCTGATGTTCACAAGTACACCATGAAGAAGCTTAGCCACAAGCAGTCCTGAAAAGAATTAGGAAGTAGACTAGAGTGGGTCCTACAGCACTGCAGACTAGACTGAAGTGGAAAGTGAGGAACAGCAGGGCACAAATGTATAAACAGGGTTTAAGTCCTGAAGCCAGAATCAGTCAAGGAAGAGATCCTACAGGATTATCGAGAAGCTGGGGAGGAAAAAAAAAAAAGTCTCACATGGTTGAAAGACTAGTACTCACACTGTGGACAGTTGAAAAACGATAAAAGCTATTACATTCTCCTGTTAGAATCCTTCACGTACTTGTGTTGGAACTGTCAGCTACTTTTCTGTAGCTTTACAAGATGTTTCCTCTTTGCTCTGACCTGTCTTCTTTCACACTTGAAAAAAATATTACCTTTCAGACAAACCTTACCTCAGCTTCTTCTTTCAGGTGTTTTATGTACAACTTTCTCCTCTTATCTGCACTTTTATCTTGTACAATGATTTCACGCCAGTTTTTGCTTACTCTCCAAATGCTGGAACAAATTAATGAAAAACACTATTCACTTTCGTATTTTTGCCAAGTAGTACAGAAGTGATGATGGTTAGGCTACCTTTTAAAGATTTTTGCATTATTTCATGTTCTGTTGGTCATCGTACAGACCACTGCTACATACTAGTTCACCACATTGTTATGAAACACGGCTCTTATGTACTGTTACATAGCACTGTATAGAATAATACAAGAGTCTAGAGCACAATTGCAACACAAATAACACAGCATACCTTTGACTTACAGAATTAAATGTTTCTTCCTTCCACATAAGCCACTTACAAATTTGTTTCTAAAGTCACATTTTTGTGTTAAGTGTTCTGAAAACATCCATGCCCTTCTACCTCCACCTATTCTCCCACTCCCTTTGCAACTAATAACACACATGGCACTCTACTTCTTTGAAATAAGTGACAGTTTCTATTGATTAAAAATTATTCTAGACCATTACTCATGAAGCAAAGTTGTTTGAGCATTTTTGTGCTTAGAAATAACTGAGGAAATTAAATACACAAGAAAAAGATCTAGAAAATGTGTTTTAAGTACTATGCATTATTTGGGAACTTGTAATTAGAAGAAAAGACTTTCTATGATTAAAGAAGTTTTTAATATATTTTAAAATTTACAAGTACTGTGATTTGGTTTTAAGTTCACTAATTCCCATGTCTGGCTTTTTGTTTGTTTGGTTTGGTTTGTAATTCCCCATATGGAGAAAAAAAGCAGTAGTACTTACCTGCATAGACTTTCCACTGTCAAAGCATCTAAAACTATAGCAAGAACATGTTTTAAATTTCTGTGTTTTAATTCTGTTAAAATATCTAATTTTTCAAGGCCCATTTTCTTGCCAATAAGTCCAGCAAGAACATGTTCTAATGCAAATATTTCTGTTCCGTCAATATTCTCTGATATTTCATTTTGGTCTGATCTTTGTCTTTGCAAGCAAATTTCATGAACTATTTTCAGAGCTGGAGTTCTTGAGAGATCTCCGTGACTTACAGCTAGGTCTCTGCCAGGCTGTTCTTCCAAAACTAATGCATGCTCTTCACTGACAAAGTTTCTGTCTTCTGTTACCATACATGCTGAAGTAGAAGGACTGCCATGGTGATCTTCTGTTTCTGACTGTGAGCCCTGTTCCCGAAGAGTGGATAACCTTCTGACTCGTTCAAGTTTTCTTGTCTTTCTTTTACCATCCAGAATTTTGGAACCTTCTTTACATTTTTGGAATAACTCTTGGAAAGATCCGTCATGATCAGACAGAGATTCTCCTGATTTGTCCAAGTGAAGTGAATTATATCCACTGTCCTCAGGTGTGGAAAGATCTGTGTAACTTGCCAGCTTACCAGGGGGAGAGTTTGTATCACATAGTTCAAAATTAAAGTTCTCTACAAGACTGTTGATGGAAGTCAGGAACTTACCCTCATTGGCCTCAGGTAACGCACTGCAAGTAGGAGTCCTAAGCAACCCATCACTAACACTCAAAAAGGCACTTTCATTGAATTCATTAGCATTACTAACAATAACATCCTTACACTGAATTGGAGACAAACATTCTGGTTCTAGCAATAAGGGATCCCTACATTTGGACTCATCTAGTGTAGAAGTCCTTTGCTGTGAAAAGGAAAGTCTTCGTTTTGGGCAATCAGGATTAAAGCCTTCAGGTTTTGGAGAATCTGAAGCAGTTTGTGAAAGTTCTTCAGAGCTCAAAACACGAGAGAACAATTTTTTCCTGCTGCTTCCTGAAGAGCTAGCTTGTCTTTCACAGCATCCTACAGCTGTGCCAGCTCGAACAGTCTTAGATAAAAGCAGCCTCCTGCGTAGTGAGGAGCCTTTTCTACTCACTTTAGGAGTTTCAAAGAAATCTGCACTTCTATTTGCTTCTCTTCTTTCTGACAAGGAGATAGAATTCATTTCATTTTCAATAGATGATGAAACAGAAAGTAGGGCATTTGGATGAATGTGCTCAGAATGGTCTTGTAGCAGTGGCAGACTTGTTACACTCGGTGTTTCTTTACGTTCTACATCAGGATCTTTTCCTGACTCATTGCATCTGCTGTCTAGAAATACTGAAGTGCAACATGTGTCTTTAAAATTGGAGTACTTAAAATTGCTGCTGGGAGATGTTAATCTATTTCTTTTAAGAATATTGAACATTACTGAATGACTTTCTGACATCTTCTGCTTGGCACTTTGACTTTGTAAATGAAGATACCAGTGTTATTTCTGAAACAAACCATAAAAGTAGTCAACAAAACACCCACAGATTAGTGAGAAATCTTTGTGTATCAAGCCAGCAGCCATGACAAAAGTATTTTCATTAGTCTTGGTAGAAACAGTGCATATACATGGACACAAAGATAAATTACAATCAAGTAGATGGTTAAAATGAGCGATTAAAATGCACAGTATACTGTGAGTGAGGTAAATCAAAACACATCCAGTTCGCTAATTGATCTGCCAGTCCTCATCCAAGGAAAACCACTTCAAATAAGTGACACAGCAACTAGAGTCTCATTTGTGCTGAAATCAGTGACAAAACTCCCTCTGATCCCAATGGGACCAAGATTTTTATTAACACTGTGTTACTGGTTCATCCAACCGCTGACAGTTCAGTCCTCAAGAACAAGCGGAAGCTCTGGTAACAGACGAGTTTAGACAAAAGCCATTTTCTCATTAAGAAAAATGAGAGAATTAAGTCACAAGTCTACAGGTCTCCATATTTAGATCCCTACAGGCCCTGGAGGGAATTTAACCCCTAGTTACAAAATGAACAGTGCATTCTTATCTGCCTTAACAGTCAAATGTTGTTTCGTAGAGAAGCTCTCTGCTTTTGCTCAGCTCTGTGGGTAAACAGTGTTCTGAAGCTTTACATTTTCACAAAACTGATGGACTGACTATGCAACCTCTCAGCACGTGCATAGAAAGAAAGTGTCTTTTAAACTTAGTAAGTATAAAAGCTTTTAAGAGCTACTAGATATTTTCCTAGAAAAGATACGAGTGGCTGATGCATCTGTTTAAATAAGGGATGCAAGAATACAGACTTACTTTTTTGCTATTCACACGTGGCAGAGTTTCTCCACCCTAATCAGAGAGGCAATAGGTCATTGCTTTCTACACACAAGACACAGCAACTGTGCAAAGCATGTTATGAGTAATGCCAGCATGAGAGCTGTTCTCACAGAAACCACAGTAGTTCTCATGAACATTGCAAGACTTTCAAAGTTTGAATAGGCACCTTTAACTGGGGCATGTTACTAGCCTCTAGAACTGGTATTTTGGAACATAAAGCCTGGAAATAGTGACTGAATTTTCGGAACAGACAAAATAAGATTCTTTAAAAGTGGTTTAAACATCAAACACTAAGACATTGCCAATACCCCAATGGCCCTGACTTAGTCAAGCCCTAAGCCACCAAATACAAGCAGTGGGAACACAGATTACCTGGGCAGGGTGGGGGGAGCTATTCTTTGATGATCTTGGGTCATTTAATTAGCATTTTTTGACCCATACTGAAGGGACTTTATAAGATCATTGCGATATAGAAAATGCTTTGTTTTCTACTGTGAGGAGACAGCAACATGTAGAAGTTCAAAAGGAACAGGATATTAAACAGCAGATTGTGAGAACTTGGCATAAAGGCCTATAAAGTCATGCTAATATCAGTATGAAATTAAACAGATTTAAAACGAACAAAAAAATCCATACCCCTAATTGAGAAAAATTCTTCCGGGAGAGAAAGGTATCTGAAAATAATTCCAACACGATGACAAACTCTGAAGTCTGGCCTGCTTCTTTTCCCTCTCCCACTTACCTCTATAAGTCCCTTACTTTCTCATTTGTTTTCTCTCACTGCTTTTTCCTCATTCCCTGTTTTTAGTTGGTGAAATAAACGACAGCGCAAATAGGAAACACAAGGGCATAGCTTTAGTTATTACATGAATTAGGAATTACTGCCTTGACAGCGCAGGACCAATTCTAAGCAGTGTCTAGCATTTCATCTGCACCATTTTCCAAAATTTTAGGCAACAGGCTGAAAACACTGTGTCAAGAACTAGAAAATAATTTTTAAGAGACAGGAAAAAGGTATGAAGAAGCTCTGTAGTGCACTGCTGCTCTTCAGTTGATTATTCATGCTGCGAGCAGAGGACCATATCAGCATAGCTCTTCTTTTTGTAAAAGGAGGAAGACCTATGAGAAACCTGTAGTAACAATACGGCGTTATTGTTGTGTAATCTACAAAATTAATAGAGGTTTCACTTTCTATGCTGAATTTTGGTGAACTGCAGTTAGTTTGCAAATATTGACTAGAGATATTACTACCAAAAATGCTGATGGACAGAAATTTAAACATGCTATTTAGAGACAGCTATTCTCAATCCCACCAAAAAAAAAAAAAAAAACCCACATACCCACAGTTACCTTTAAAAATACTAATATTTTCCTTAAACACAGTCAAACTAACTACACATTTAACAAAAGCATACAGGCTTGCAGGTTTAAAAACTTAATGTTTAGGCATCATGCTGAAGAAACAACAAAAGGAAAACTTATGCTTGCAGCATCAGTCTCAGACATTCCACAGGAAAATTATCTAGTCTTATGAACAACAGAAAGTAGAGGAAATCTAAAACATTACAGTATTAAAAGAATTTAAGTAAAGTTGTGTTTCAAATAACATAAAAATAACAGGAAGACAAGCTTTCGCAGCTATAGAGGAGATAAGAATAGCAGAGTTTAAGGAATGTTGGTTAACTCAGGTAAAAGCCAAAAATATGCTGTAAACACGCCAACACCCAGCAGGAGGAGCATATGAGCTTACTAGACTGATTTTGAGAGAACAACGTTGAAAAAACTACAGGGAAGCCACCGCAATACAGATGCCGGGTGTACCGTGTCCATTATACCTCTTTACAGCAAATCCAGTACACACCTCGGGTTTGTATACACTTTTTTTTTTCCAAAACGTATTACTTATGTTAAATTAAATCTTAATTTGTACAAGGTCTCATTTTACAAATACAGTACAGAAGGGAAAGCCTTTCAGATGTGCTGAACATCTCTTAGAACGAAGATGCTACTTACATTCATAAGAGATGACTAATAAAACCTCTTATGACTTGCCTAGTGGTTTTATAAGCACTTCCTTTTTTATCAGGAGAAAAATTTCATCCACTAGATTTGATACGTGACATCAAGCCCTTGTCGTTTGGGAGACTTGAAGTAATTTCTGAAAGTACTGTTAATCTTTTTTTAGACCTCGTAGAACAGATGTGTGGGGAAGAAAAGCCTGGTCACACAGCAAGTCAGTTACAGAAGAAGGAATAAAATCCATATCTGTTAAGTGCAGATTCCTGTGCTCTATACATACCTAACTTCTATTATTATTTTTGTAGTTCTCAAATTGATCTACGAGTCCACTGCAAGCTTTCTGAGAGTTTACGGAACAAAGTATTTCATATTTAAAGACATAAACTAAATTAAGAACAGGATTCAGACATTTAGACAAGGAATAATTTCTGACAAGCTTAGTCTTACAAAGTGTCCTAAAGAGATAAAAGTGTTGGTTACTGGAAGGCAGCATAAATGGTGCCTACAACTTAGACGCAAGTTCTAGGGTGGAGTCACGCCTGTTCCTGATACTAATTTACATTCCCCAGTAAGACACACTGAACATTCATGCCTCAAACAAGATGTTTTCCATCCTTGTTTGTCACTGTTCACCCTTGTTAACAAAACAGATAAAGGCAAAGTTTTGGTGATATAAGAATATTTTCTCTGTTATTTAAACAGATATCATGTCTGCAGTAAAACTGACTCTGCTCTTTGAGCATCCAGATCTAAAGACAGAGAAGTCATTGATACCTACAAGGGCATTAACATTGAAGATGACATAGCTACGTCCTATCTGTAAGATGTGGGTCACTTACCCTAATTTGTGAAGCTACTCAAGATCTTCCAAACCCACGGTGCTGTACTCAAAGTATTGTTTACCCCTACCGATAACCTAGAGCGAGAAAGGACACAGAGACAAAAGAGAGAGGTATAAGAGAAACGTTACCCAGCCGAGACACAGTTTTCAGTTCATCTGCACACGTGTTCATGGCAACATCTAATCACCCAGCGACGAAGATAATTGAGGGCTACCTAGGGACCAGCACCCGAGGGTCTCTCAGTCACCTGGGATGCCGGACACGAGCAAAGCAACAGCTTCACCCCCTCATCTGGCAAATCGCTGGGCACAGGCACCAGGGCCTAGAGGCCCCCTACCACCAGCTGCGGCGATCGCCGGGGCTCCCCGAGATGGGCCGAAGGCCAGGAACCCCCCTCGCTCCCCGGCCGGCCGG